GGGGGAGGGAGAGGAGCAGAAGCAGGAAGGGGAGGGAGAGGAGCAGGAGGAGGGGGAGGAAGAGGAGCAGGAGGAGGGGGACGGAGAGGGGCAGGAGGGCGAGTGGCTATGGAGGAGACGTCGGGCAGAAGAGGGAGTTATTTGCGGAGATTCAGGTCATCCACCCTCATTCTGGTTCCAGTGTATACGTTGATGGTGGTGATCGGCGCTATCTCTTTGCACCTCCTGGGAGGAAGGAGAAGGCATGCAGAGTCGTCTTGCTATCCCCACCTACGTGTCGGGATCTGGACCGTGATTGGGTCGAGTGGCTTGAGATTGTTATGGATGGTAGGGATCGGCGTGTCACAGGCGCAGGCAGCGGAGACGCTGCTCAAAAATTTGAAGGGGACTGCTGCGGTCGACCTCGGCGGCGGCGGAAGGGAGGGGGAGGGGGGGGAGGAGGGGCCAGAAATTGCTTCTTCGGACAAGAAAGCCAACAGGACCAGGCAAGAGAGAAGGGTAGGTGTTTCCCAAGAGGCCAGGCGGCAGTGGTGCTGTGTTAATGGTTGCTTGGAAAGCATGAACCTGGATGTAATAGTGGCAACGTTCGTGCTTTCCGAGGATGAACATAGCTGCACAAATGGGCCGCCTGTCTGTCAGTGTGACCTTGTTGGACGCGCCCCCCCCTCTTGCTCCCCGTCCGTCCCTCCCTCCCTCCCTCCCCTCTCCCCCATCCCTCGTCCCCCCATGTTCATTTGTCCCCTTCCTCTCTCCTCGTCTTTCTTTCCCAACTGTTGCCTGTTTCTCAGCTGCGCCCTGATCTTTTCTCCTGTTCCTCCTTTTCTTCTTTCCTCCTCCTTTTTTTTCTCTTTTCTCCTGTTTTCTTTTTTTTTTCTTTTTTTTCCCTTTTTTTCCCTTTTTTTTGAAGTAGTGGGCATCCTCTTAACAGTGTTGTCATCTCGCAGTCTGGCCTATCCCTGAACAGTGCCCTGACCTTTTCTCCTCCTCCTCTCCCTCCTCTTCCTCCGCGTGCTCTCTCTTCCTCCTCCTCCTCTTCCTCCTCTTCCTCCTCTTCCTCCTCCTCATTTTCTTCTTGTGAATAATAATAGTAGCAACCTTCAGGGAAAAAAAAAAAAAAAAGCATCCTTATTTCATACTCTGTGCGACACTCCTTCCTTTTCCTGATGCTGTGGCAGCGTATCTGGTTGTCCTATTTTTTTTGGAAAACTCAGCGTATCTGGTTATCCTATGTAAACTTCCCGCGCGTGTTGCGCATCTCATAGAGAGTGCAAAAATGATAAATCGCTGAAACAGAACGCTCTCTGAACAACTATAGAGGGTGTGATATAGTCTGGCTATATGTGTCTACCGGAGCCGAGAATGGTGGCATCTGTATCGTCGAAGGGAACGGGAGAGAGGGGGTGGGCGAAGGAGGGGGGTGCAGCGGATGGTGGGGACCGCAGGTGGAGGAGTGCGGAGGCGGCATCACGGGTTATGAAGAGTTGTACTCATCTGCTCTCTCTCTCTCTCTCTCTCTCTCTCTCTCTCTCTCTCTCTCTGCTCTTTCTCTCTCTCTGTCTCTCTCTGCTTTTGCTATCTCTCTCGCTCTCTCTCTGCTTTTTGCTCTCTCTCTCTCTCTCTCCCTCTCTGCTTTTTGCTCTCTCTCTCTCTCCTTCTCTGCTTTCTGCGCTCTCTCTCTCTCTCTCTCTCTCTCTCTCTCTGCTTTCTGCTCTCTCTCTCTCTCTCTGTCTCTCTGCTTTTTGCTCTCTCTCTCTCTCTCTCTATCTCGCTCTCAACACACAGCACGCGCGCGTGAACAACGGAGCAGAGGATTACCTTGTCCCTGTCATTCGGGCCGTGGCCTCGCCTCTCTCTCTCTCTTTCTCTCTTTCCCTTTTTTTTTTTTTTTTTTTTT